TTTCCAAGGAGAATTGCTTGTGGTCCTAGCTCTGATTCCAGCGTCCCATCCATTATGCTCCAGCCCATGAATACTTGCCACTATTTTAGCCCATAACTTCTCCTTCTCCAAGGGGAATCTCCACAACCACTTTCCCAACAAAGTCATATTCCTTCTCCTAATATTCCCAAGCCCCAAACCATCCATTATGTGGATTGGAAGTTTCTAATTGAGATTATGGATAAATGGGACTTTGTCACAAAATGGTGCAAATGGATAAAGGGATGCCTGAAGACATGTCATTTTTCAGTGGTGGTGAATGGGAGAGTAGAGCCGTAGAGGCCTTTTTTAGTGCCTTTAGAGGAGTGAGGCAAGGGGATCCATTGTCCCCATTCCTATTTACTCTCATTGTGGAGGTGTTTAGTAGATTGATTGTGAAAGCGGATGAGGGAGCACTAATAAAGGGATGGAGGATAGGAAGAGATAGGGTTAGGGTGACCCATCTACAATTTGCAGATGACATCATAATTTTCTATGAAAAGGGGGGATAACATGATGCGAGGAATTTGAGATTGTTGGTGAATCTTTTTGAGAGAATGACAAATTTGAAGGTAAATATGAGCAAAAGTGTGGTTTCTGGTATCAATTTGAGTCAAGATGAGATTGAAGACTGGGCTAGGGAATTAGGGTGTACTTCAAGTGGATGGCCATCAAGATATTTGGGGCTACCCTTGGGAGTGGATCCTAGAGTGTTATCCTTTTGGGACTCGGTGGTGGAGAAATTTGAAAGGAAGTTAGTGGGATGGAAGAGGAATTATATCTCCTTGGGAGGTAGAAATGACTCTTATTAAATCCACACTAGCTAATCTTCTAGTTTATTACCTTTCAGTCTTTTGCATGCCTGAATCCATTGTTAAAAGATTTGAAAAAAATAATGAGGGACTTCTTTGGGAGCTTGGGGAGGAGAAGAAAGATCACTTAATTAGATGGGAGGTGGTATGTAGGAGGAAAGAGTGTGGTGGGCTGGGTTTGGGAAGGATGAAGGAAAAAGAACTGGGCTCTATAAGGCAAATGGCTTTGGAGATTTCCAAGGGAGACAAACAAGCTATGGCATAGAGTGGTAGAGAGCATTCATGGGCTTTCAGAGAACAGTTGGGATGCTGGAATATCTAACAGCTTCTAGTGCTTCTCCTTGGAAGGCTATCCACAAAATTCTGCCACACTTCTTGCCTCATACTAGGTATGATACGAACTCTGGAAACAAAATCAGATTTTGGGAGGATCTATGGGTTGGAGAAGCTCCTTTAATGGAGTCTTTTCCTTCTCTGTTTGCTATTTCATATTTCAAAGGTAGACCCATTTCTGAGTTCTTGGTCCATTCCCCTTCTGAATCTGGAACTGGTTGGAATTTGGGTTTGTAGGAATGTGAAGGATTCATAGTTGGATCTTGTGTCACAATTGCTTCTTTTGTTGGATGGTGTTTTTATCAATAATAGCAGAGTGGATAGCCGATTATGGAAGGTAATTCCTCTGGAATGTTGACTTGTGATCATTCTTTAAATTGCTGGTTTCCTCTCATTCACTTCTAATGTCTTTCCCTGTTAAGGAAGTGTGGTGTTGTCCAATCCCCCCTAGGGTGAGTGCTTTTTGTTGGGAGGTTTACCATGGTGCAATTAATACTCATGATTTTTTACAAAGGAGGAGACCTGGATGGCGTCTAGCTCCAAACTGGTGTGTCCTGTGTGAATCAAATGGTGAATATGCTCATAACTTGTTCATTTCCTGTCCTTTTGCTTGTTGTATTTGGGATTGGTTTTTTTTCCTTGTTTGGTTGCAGGTGGAACACTCCACTTAGCTTGGATAAATTGTTTGATCCCTCAACTTTCAGCTTGCCAAGAAAAGGGGAAGAGTACTTTGGAAGTGCACAAGAGCTGTAGTGATCTGGGCATTGTGGGAAGAAAGGAATGAGAGAATTTTTGAGCAGGAGAAAAGAAGTAAACAGGCTCTGATTGAAAGTTTAATGGTAAAGGTGACACATTGGGTGAAGACAACTAAATTGTTTCTTGACTTCACATTTGATGATATTTTAAGACAATGGGGCACAATTGCTGCATCTCCTCAGCTAAGAAGAAGTAAGTGTCAATCTGGAAACCTCCAAGTGATGATTTTTTCAAGTTGAATTTTGATGGGAGTTGTTTTGGTAATCTGGGGCTGCTGGAATGGGAGGGGTGATAAGAAATAGTGAAGGAAAATTGGTGTTCTTGTTTTCTGGGCCCATAGGGTAAGGGGACTCAATGGGTGCAGAACTAAAGGCTGCTGTTTTTGGGGTCCAAAAGGCATGGGAAATAGGGATCAGGAAGTTGTTGATTGAAGGAGATTCGAAGGTGATTATGAGCTGGCTGAAAGATAACAATAAAACTCCATGGTATTTCAGAAAGGTGATTATCAGATGGCTGAAAGATAACAATAAAACTCCATGGTATTTCAGAAAGGTGATTATCAGATGGCTGAAAGATAACAATAAAACTCCATGGTATTTCAGAAATGAGATTTTGAAGCTTAAAAGATTCTCAAAAGACAAGCAGGTGAATGTGTAGTGGATACCTAGATCAGCAAACAGTTTACCTGATCATTTTGCTAAGCAAGGGGTCAATAGAGGGAGTTGTTTTTGGGCTCAGCTGTAAATGTAAGAATATGGTTATGCTATTGTCCTAAGAGTTTGGGGTAGCTGAGGCTACGCATATTGTAATTTTTCTTCCTAAATTAATAAAAGGATTTTTCTGTTGCTGGTCAAAACAAAAAATAAGGCTAATTCTTGGATGGTCCAGGTCAATGAGTTGGTGGGCCTTATGCATGGCATGGAATTATAGAAGAGATGCCACTAAATTTAATGGAAGAAGAGAGCATTCCTGCTCTAATAATGTCTGATAGGTGCAGTTTCAGATTACAAAGTCTAGTTATTGGATGGTCCAGGTCAATGAGTTGGTGGGCCTTATGCATGGTATGGAATGCAAGGTTCAATGTTATGTTATTCATCCAACTAAAATTGATAGTCACCCAATGTTGGTCCTGGCTATCTGGAGTCTTGGGAGGGTGGGATGGATACAGACCTAACCTTTGAAATTTTTTACACACAGTGGCCACTCTCAGACTTAAACAAGCATTCTGACGCTTGTCAGCTTGATATTTTACAATTATACCAAGCAATGGACCCCATTATTCATCCAAGTCAAATGTGAATTTTGTCTAAAACACATTGAAAACTGTAGATAAGAAAATCTTATCTGCACCTAGAGTTATTGGAATAGATAAACTGGTTACTGAAGCTCACCAAGTTAAAAGTTTGAAGGACTTACAAAACTGTTATAATTGAACAGCCAAAGGCTTAAACTTCATCCCATCTGCCACTGCATCCATATAACAAACTATCAAATACTTAAGCTCATGTATCAATTTTTTCCTAGTCATACCAATTCATCAGGTTGAGGGAATAAAAATTATGAAAAATGTGAATAACATTGTCTCCAGTCTAATGACTGACCCACTGATACTGTTGTGTAAAATTGCAACAAGGCTACAATATCTGTATCATATGTTTATGGGTGATTGAGGGTTTTTTTTTGGCAACATAAATGGTTTTGTTTTTTAAAACAAAAATAACTGCCGCATAAATGAAATGACATGTTCAGTAGCATACCTTAAGAACCGGTTCACCCCTGTTGGAGGTAGCAGATTTTTTTGCATTTTCTTGTGCTAATAGCTGTGCACGTGCAGCTTTTCCTGCAGCAGATTTCTCAAATTGCTCTTGCCTGGTTTTTTAGCATATAAATGTTTGAGAGACAGTCAATATTATTCTTACATCCTCTAATATCTCTAATCTTTGTGCTATTATGGACAGAGCGTTAAAGCTCTAAACAAGAGAATCATAACTTAAATCAGAATTCTGAGATGGTGGTAAAAGGCACACAATTATGTCAATATGGTTATGGATTCAGGACTTATCAATCCAGAGACTACATCTATGTAACTTAGAATGGGTGTTCATGATATATTTGGATCTCCAACCAAGGATGGGATAACACTTAAAAGCAATTCCCTGTCCTCATCACCTTTCTAAATGCTTTGAGGTAGCCCATCCCCCCTTCCTAATGTGCCAGCAGATCTCACTTAAATTACAGGGCAATTAATACAAAGAGCAGATGATATATTTGAGAACAAGGCTAGGAGCATCACCGTACTAGAAGACAGCATTTGGTGGCTTTGTTGCTCTTCAGTGTCAGTGAATAAACTCTTTAAGGATGCCTCTATAGTGAATTTTCAGAGGAACCTCACCCATTGTCTTTGTACTACAGGTGTTGGAAGGCCAGTGGATAACTCCTTCGGTGCTAATTGGGTAGGGATCAGGGGTGTTTTTCTTTCCTCTGAAGGTGTAGTTCTGTGGAAGTTTAATGGTCTTATCATAGTAGCAGATGTCTCAAAAGGCTGAGGTGGTTGCAGTCCTAACTGGACTGCAAATTGCCAAAAGACTGGGCATCTCCGCTCCTCTCGTGCTAGGTGATTCAGCCAAAGTTATCAAGTGGATGGGCTTACAGGAGACTGGGATGTGGAGACTCAATCATCTCATGAATGAAGCTCGGGATATTGCAGGTGGATTGCTCTCCTCGTTTCAGTGGATTCCTAGAAGTCTAAATACCTTGGCTGACAGCTTAGCTAAGGCAGGGGTGGGTTAGAACTGAGTTGTATAGTGATCTTTCTCTGCCCTGATTTTGGTAGGGCTCCCACCTCCCTTTTTCTTTGCGTGCATCCTCTCATGTACACGTTTTTCCCTTAATTTACTCTTTCCTCAAAAAAGAGCAGATGATATTAAATTCCCCTTCTTTTCCGAGATTGCGAAAGTCAGGATACCCCCCACCCCACACGCACACACACACACATCGAAGAAAAAAAAGGAAAAGAAGTGTGGGAAGAGGAACCTCGGAACCTTGAGAAGTAGTTGAATACCGAAGGGAACAGGGAGATAAGATTAGACAATAGAAAAACAGTTCTAATTAGGGATTGAGATAGAAGAAACAAATTACCTTCTCTGAGCGGCTTCGGCTGCTTTAGCTCGAGCTTCCTCGGAGGCCAAGCGATCTTCTTCCTCTCTTCTCCGCCTACTCTCCTCAGACTCTCCACCGAAGCAATCAAAGCAAAACCCCATCTCTCTCCCTCTCCCTGTCGTTGAGTTTCACACTCCCTTTGACATTTGAGTTGGTATGCATTCTTATACATTATGGATCCAACGATTTCTTAAAGAAACATACTATACTTACCTTCCTATCATATTAAGGTGTACCCAGTTAAGCCTATTATATCAAAACCGTCCTTTGCCCATCATTTTAATAGTTCACTCAATCTTGAGTCAGAGATCTAATACGGGACCCACAATTTATCGTCTTTGAGACATAAATAGCCAGGGAACTGTGAAGGCAAATCAGACGCAGAGCTTGTTTTGGAGTGTGAAACAGGGAAATGAGCTTCCGACCGTTAAAGTCACTCCCGCCAACAGAAACCCTAGAAATCGGGAGCGGTCTTTCATTGGTTCCTCGCGTGAAACTCCTCCTTACCATCTACCGCTCGGATCCCTCCGTCAAACCCATTGACGAGTGGCAGCTCAAACGTGCTCTCATAGACTTCCTCAAGAACTCCCTCTCTGTCTCCCTCACCGTCCCCGAAGAAGATCTCGATATCCGCAGATTCAAGGATCTGAAAAAGCGCAAGCGCGAAGATCCAGTTGCCTCCGGAACTCTTTACGTGCGAGATTTAGGGTTTCTTAGTAAGACCAGTAAGAACAAGCAGAATTTGACTTATGAAGACGACGAGGAAGAAAATGTTGAGGTGTTAGAGAAGAAGTTCTTCGACTGGAAAAGATCCCTTGTGGATAGGTTGGATGGTATCGAGTTGAATCTCGAAGGAGTGAAGTTCAGGTTGAACGTCAGTATCCCTCCTTGTGATGATTTTGAAGGACTGAAGAAAGCTTGGGAAGATTTTTACGCGTTCAACAATCGAGGTTTGTGTTTTGGAAACGCAAGACTAGTTGATAATTGTTCCAGTGGGTTTGTGATGTATCTGGGGGTTGAGGTGTGTGGTTTTGATGACTCTGGTTTTCTGCAGGATCTTATTCAAGGGGTGGGAGACAACAGCCCGACACAATTATTTTGAGAGGTGTTCCATCGAGATGGTTCGCGGAACCACGAGTTTCTTCCAAGCCTTCTATGCTGGTTACACATACTATTTTCTCTGTATTTGGAAGGATAAGGTCAGTCGGTCCCCTTTCAACTTTTCAAACTGTTGTTATCTAGCTATTTGTTGCAATAGAATGCCAAAGGAAAAAAGTTACTTGTTGCAACATATGTTCTACTTAAAATTTGTAATCTTTTTTAAACTACCTGCTTATTTGGCGTCGGTTTTAATTTTTACATGCCAAAACACCATTGTTTCAGATCCTTTCTAAGTAAAGAGGCATATTGTATGACCTAATTCTCTTTTATCCTCCCCTCAACCTCCCTCCCAAAAAAAGGGAAAAAAAGAGAAAAAAAGAGGTTTCTTACCTCCTGAAGGATATATTTCTGTTGAAATTGAATTTGTTGCATTGAAACTTCATCAATTGATCATCAGCTAAGTTGATTGGCAGAAACGATTTTTGAACATTTATTTTTAAATACTGTTTGGCGTTCAATTTTAAGTGTATTGATTCTTCATAGAAAGTTGACACGATCATGGACATGGAAACCTCATGTCTAGAGACGGGCTTAAAGTTTTTGTGTTCTTTTTTGAGTACCTGATTAAGCTCATTTACTTTAGCCATATTGCCATAAAATTAAGTAACTGTAGTTTCAACAACGAGTGTTTAAAAATGTGGGTCCAGTTAGAGAAATCTTCTTCCACTAACTTTATTCTCTAGGGAAATGTTTTCTGCTAAAGCATATGTTGTTACTTATCACATCGCCAACCTCACTATTTCAACACACACTCTTCACACTCTTCACACTCTTTCAGCCTTCCCTGTGACCTTCTAGACTCCACAATTTTCACTAGACTTTTCTTTCCAATTGTGTTCATGGTGGTTTTCATTTAACACAATTAGACTATCCCAGTTGACTCCTTTTCTGCCCCTTGTTATTTCTGTTTTTTTACCACCTATAAAGGTTGCTCCTGTCTTCACATGGGCTTTCTCATTTCTTTCTTCCTTTCTTTTCTTAACCTTGCAATTTATGTATCTCACTTCATCACCTTAAATATTTCCATTTTGTTGAGACATCTTTTCCTATTTCAAGATATTCTTCTCCTAAGAGGGAGTGGGGAAAGATGGGAAAGGAAGCAAATCTCTTGATGTTATCATGTTGTTTATTTAGATTACTTAGCAAAAGCCATCTCATCTAGATGGGAGGTAGTGGGTCGTTGTAAGTAAGGAGGTTTAGGGTTAGGGAACTTAGTTAATAAGAATGAAGCCCTATAGAGTAAATGGCTTTGGAGGTGGCCTTTGGAAAGAGAGAGATTGTGACATGAGCCATGAGGTGGTGGAGAGTATCCATGGCTGTTCTGAAATTGGATGGCAATCTCCAACATTTTTCCTAAATTCCTCCGGTTTGTAAGGTATGATGTTTGCCTCAGGTACTTCGCTTTTTTGGGAAGATGTTTGGGTGGGTAATCAATCTCTAAGCAACCTTTTTCCCTCCCTTTATTCTACCTCCCTAGCCTATTTCTAGGTTTCTTTCTTCCTTGATAACTCCTTTGTCTCCAACTTGAGATTTTGAGTTTCATAGAGGATTAAGGGATGAGGTATTTACCTGTGTTTCAGAGATTTTAATTTTATTGGAGTTTGTTTGCTTGGACCCCCTTAAGTTAGATAGAAGAATTTGGACCTTGGTACCGGGTGGCTCCTTGTGCTTGCTTCTTCAAGCTCCTTTGTTCTTGTACAACGGCTTTTTGTTGAGAAGTTTATCATGGTAAGATTAATACTTTGGATAACTTGCAAAAGACGTTTATCATGGACCTTTTTTTGTGCTTGTCCACAAATTGGTGCACAATGTGTAAAGTATAGCATGAGGACTGTTACTACTTGTTGATATCTTGTTCCTTTGCTGGAGATATTTGGAATTGGGTTTTCTCTTTATTTGGTTGTAGGTGGAACCGTAGTTTTTAAGGCGCCAAGGCGAGGCTAGGCGATAGGGGGGTGCCTTGTCGCCTAGGCGATGGATTTTTTTAAGTAAAAACATGTAGCCTAGGGTAGTTACCTAGGTTCCATAATCATATTTCCTTAATAAATATCCATAATTTTCACAAGAAAAGCATAAACTTCATGTTTAAGTATAGAAAATCAACATATTCCAACATATTCATGAGAAGAAAAAGAAAGAAAAGAAAATTCAAAAATATAGGGGGGGCTGAACCCCTATTTCTGTTATAGGAAAAGAAGAAAAGAAAAGGTGGAAGAAGAAGAAACTAGTGTATAAACACACAAAATTAGTAAAGAAAAAGAAGAAAATGTGTTGATTGGACAACATTTTATGTTCTTCCTTACTTATTGGTTCAGGTTTTGAAGTCTTTGAGTGTTCAATACAGCATTTAGCAATGTTTGTGTTGATTAAGCCCACTATCACCTAGCATTTAGCAATGTGTTGGTTTTATGTTCTTCCTTACAAGAAAGGTGAGCTCCTCCTCCAGAAGGAGCAACAAAGCTGAATTTTGATGGCAGTAGTCAAGGTAACCCAGGGCCCTTGGGTATTGGTGGAATCTTGAGGGATAAGGATAACAACATTATCTCCTTATTCTTAGGCCTAGTAGTAGTTGGAGACTCAACAAGGGCTGAATTACTAGCAATTGTACAAGGCTTACAGATTGCCAACCAACTTGAAGTGGAAAATTTGGTAGTTAAAGGAGATTCCAAGGTGATAGTGGGCTGGTTGCTGAATCCGGACACTGTCACTTAGGGCTACAGAGATCTTTTGAGGAAAGTAAAATGGCTTACAAGAAATATGACTGCCAATTTCCAGTGGGTCAGCAGATCAGAAAATGCATTGGCAGACTCTCTGGCTAGGGTTTTTCGGGTTTCTTTGTATTGGGCTAACTTATAGTCTTGCTTATTGATAAGTGTTTGGGTCTGTACTCATCCCTATGGGGAGGTAGCATTTTGTGCCTCTTTCAAGGCCGATTGTACTCTCTTTTTTCTCTAAAATAAAATTGCCTAATCATTCATCAACAAAAATGCCTTCTCATCTACAAAATATGTACAAGCAATAAGACTGGCAGTCAAGATGAAATGAATGTGGTTGAAAAAATGCTAAAAGTTACACTGAACAATCTTCTAGTGCACAAAACCATATTGACCTACTTCACTTTGGTGCACTATTGAAGACAACCCACAACAGATCTTTAGGCTCAGTTTGGAAAGAGTACAAATACAAATATGTACAGTGCAAATACATAGAAAATACAAGGTTTTGTACTCTACATATTTGTATTTGTACTCCTTCCAAACTGAGCCTTAGTATTTTATAAGAAAAGAAGAAAATTTTGAATTTAGAAAACAAATGCCCTCCTGCAAGAGAAAACTGCTCACTGCTGTGGATCATTTTTTTACTCTATATTTTCCACCAAAGGGAATCCCTTTTTACTAGACTCTTACTCTTTCCCAAACTTTCTTTTCTCTCTGAAATGTATGGAGTTACACATATTGGTATATAGAGGACAATGCTCACCAAAACCAAAGGAATTAAAGAAAGTGATTTTATGCAATCATACCCAACAGAGTGTTAAACTAGATGTCTGAGAGGCACCTAGACCATGAGTAACACAATGCTTGGATGCTGTATGCATCTTGAAGTTATACAAAGCTTCTCTTCATTATCCAGTTTTGAGGAAAAAAGCCTAAAACTAATGATATTGTAAGTTTGCTACCAATATTTTTTACATGTTAGAAATTGTACTTCCACTTCAAGATTTCGAGAACATATAAGTTAGATTTGATTCTCCACATGTTATCTCATCAAATAAGCTTAGGAATTAGGACTATCTTTCTTTCTCTCTGATCAATGATGTAATGATTTCATATTTCACTAAGCCATCAAATTTAATCTTATAACCTGATTGTATGACATTGTTTGATGATGTTCTGTTAACTCGCACCAAATAGGCATCTTAATGTTGCGGAGGACAATGATCTAGGTAAGAATTCGGATGAGGAAAGTGAAGATCTTGTGTCAGGTCTCCAGTGCAAGATTGTGGTTCAGTTTGAGAAATACGAAGACTTCCATAATACTCTGAAAGTGTTTTGTGGGCGTTCTATACAAAAGGTAAAAGCTGCTATCACCATCTCTATAACAATTTCCATTTTATTCTTTGTTGGAGATATCCACCATCTTCTCCACTTGCCCAGATATAAATTACCAGAAGTAAGGGTATGTCATTTCAACTAGTTTCTTCTAGGTTTCTTTTCAGCTGAATCCTAACATGCACTCCAGTGACTCTTTTCTTGGCCAAGCCCTTCAGGCCTCTTTGTCAAGTCTATTATCTGCAACCGAAATATCTTGGATCTTGGGCTAAAATTTGGTAGCAAATTGTTAATTTATAATTCTCAATAAATGTAATAAAATCAATTATATGTTTAGTAGAAGTTCAGGACTGTTATCAGTCTTGAACTCTAATGGATTTCAGGTTCGAAAATAAGAAGAAAGGTAAAGAGAAGAGGAGGAAGAGGGAAGAGAAGCAGTAGAACACGAGTTGAAAAGGAGGAGCAGAAGCTTCATGTTCTGCCGCTGCCACTTTAATTAATATTTATAGGTTATGCTCATTACATGGAAAGGACAGATCTGCCYTTAGTCTTTACATAACAAATAGAGCAAAAATAAGACTGAAATAAATAACAACTGAAACAACTAAATGACCAATAGCTAACCCTAGGAAGACTAGAACACCACGAACACAGTGGGACCGTAGCTGTGGGGCCCACATCAGTGTTCTCTACATGTTTTTAATTGTTTAGTGTTCATAATGAATTATTTCTCTAAGCTAATATTTTGCCTTTTCCATTGAGCATTTGATTATTTATATAAGATAAAAATAACTGTGGATTATATGTGCTTAAACATTTGAAACTAAGGTGTTCATCCTTATTTTCTAAGACTCTTGATTCTGACATCCCATAACCCTGTTAGATCCCCGCATGTGGTAGCTGCATCCATAAAGCATAGGATGCAGGTGGTTTCCCAAGGTCCATTTTATCTTATTAGATGTTGTCCTTTTTATATAATGAGATAACTTATTACCCTCCTTGTTTTACAATAAAGGGGGTGTTCGACAACATGGTTGGCTTTGTTTTTGAAAACAAAAACAACTGCCACATCAGCAAAATTGTATTGTTTTTGCTGATGTGGCAGTTATTTTTTGTTTTCAAAAAACACAACCAACCATCTTGCAAACACCCCCTAAAAATTGAATGATTCTAATTCTTTGATGCTTATGCTTTTCCTATCAGTTAAAAATGAAAGGAAATTTTCTGATGATATGATCATCTTCCACTGGTTCATCCATAATGAGTAATTTATATTAAGATTTTCATAGCCTGTTTTGGATGGGTAGGTGGAGATGCATGTCTAACTTAGGAATGTTATCTTGCAGCAAGGATCACGCCTTAAAGCTGACTATGAGGCAACATGGGTTAAGGATGGTTTTTTCCGAAATGCTCAGCAAAGAGTAATAAACAGTCAGATACAAGAGAAGAATGGCCGGTTGCAGGCAATGCCAGCAGGTCACTATGAAAGTGTGGCTCCAAAACCTCAACCACAGATTGCACGGTTTAGTTCTGAAAGTGCACGGCTGAAGAGGTTCAAGGTTTGGTTTTTTTCCTGATTTATTATCCACGAAAGCATTAAATTCTATTAACAATAGGGGTTCTTGTCTATTTAGAAAAAAAAAATAGTGGTTCTTGTCTTTCCCAGTATTTTATCCTCCCTCTTGTCCAATGTCCAAGAAATTTAATGTGTTTGCTAACTTGTGGGAGATTTGCATTATTTCTTTTTTGGGTTGGTGATTGGGGTTCCTGCCTTTCACACATTATGTATTTTCTGCTACTTGACCTACATGCATATGTATCTTTTTAAGGCTTACCATTCCTGCAAAATGATTGGCATTTCAATTGTTGCATTGAATGATGAGAAACTCTTTTTAATTTTGTGCAGGAATAAGGTATTAAATTAAAATTTGGATGAGCATTTCTTGGTTCAAGCTCAGACAGAAAAGACTCCTAATTTGGTCATGAAGAACTTTTCTTTGCTAGAGATTAATTTTGCAGTGTCATTATGTCTCTCGGATTGGCTAAACATTCTCTGCATAAATTGGCAAAAGAAAGGTATACCAATTATGTTGTACTACTGATTCCCTCACTTTATGTTTTCAATGCCTTGAAATCAGGAACATGAAGTGCTTTTACATGTTTCCCAAACAATGATCTATTTATCTCATTCCCTTTTTTTGAATCTCAA